TAAAAATCATAACCAAAGATAATAAGTACTCATTAGAATAACTTTGCTGCCTTTTATTCTTGGAGAATACATGATCTACTGGATAAGGAATTATTTCTAACTCGCCTTTATTGCCTGTCCGCCCATGCCTCCACTTCCTCCCCCTCCATTGGGTGGGCATGCAAGGCCCCCATAAGAGGGCAATGTATTGTTCGTCTGTGCTACCTGAGTAGCTACACTGGCGGGAGATATTTGTCCCCGTATACCCTCCTCCATACTAGATAATGTGGCTAACGGTTTCCAGCAAACTGATCCATAAGCCGTTTCTCCGCCATGTCGGAACATCTCCAACTCATCTGTCAGGCCGGCTAAATGTCGGGCCATCTCAGTCAGTTGAGTAGCTGCCGCCTCCTGGGCTTGATCCAAAGAGGCACGAAGCCAATCTGCCGTCTGCCTGTCAGCTTCAGCTTCAGCACGGCTATCTTTCTCGAGACGTGACGCTGTTGCCAACCTGTATGTGAGAGCATGCAACTTACAAGGGGAACGCAAATTGATTAGATATTGGGGGGCAGAGAAACAAAGAAATTAAAGCAAAACTTTGTCACGATTCAGAATTTAAAAAATTCGTAGTGGGCTGCGGGTAAACCAAATATGCGAACTTTAATCAGATTAGGTCTCTTAAGGTTGCGTAAGGGCTGTTATTAGAATAGAATTCACGATGTAGTCGTATTTCACTTTGCAATGTGTCCGAATGGATTTTATCATAATATGTGGCAAAATAAAAATCAATGAAACAGTAAGGCCTATTCCTTTATATTATAATTCGAATATTAGTTTTAACAAGTTTTTATGTAGTTAGTTTGAACGCCACAAGAAGTAAAGATGATTAAATTATTATTCAAGGTCGTTACTGAATCTTATCCTCTTTTTGCTCAATCTGTTGGCAAGTTAAATGGCTTATAAATACGAAAAGTCAAGGAGGAACGCTTAACGTAGGAAATAACTTACCTGATGATAGCTGATGGTCTTATAATCTTAACGAAAAAATGAGTCACAGTTTACTATTCTTTTAATTGTTGAGCTTACTTCCATATTTAGTAAAAGTCATTGGTGAAGAGATAAGGTCGATCTCACCAGAAGACGATGGCGGATTCCTCTCGACCAGCAGCCGATTGGCTCTACTAGAATAT